TCCACGCTGGCCGAGCACAGAGGCTGGCCCAGTGCGTGGGATCCTCGTGGCGCCTGGGGAGCCACCGCAGGGTTTGCGACAGGGAAGGAAGGAGAAACAGTTGCGGCAGATCTGGAGTGGATGTGGGGAGGCGCTGGGGCCGTGGGGTCTGGCCTGGAGAGGCAGAGAGAAGATTCCAGAACGTGCAGGAAGGCAGATGAAGACAAGGTGCCCGTGGGCGGTGGCTCCTGGACACCGGCAAGACACAGGCCAGGCGAGGACAAGGGGCAGACGGTGCCCTGCGGGGTCCCACCCCACCGCCGCTAGCGGGGAAGCTGCACGGGCACTCACGGCTCTGCCCTGCTGTCACCCACTCCCTGTAGCGGGCAAAACCCAGCGAGGGCTAGGCAGCCCGCAGTCCTCCACGGCACACTCCCGGCTTTAGACGCCCCTCTGCTGGGGACACACACCCCTCCCGCGAGAGGCCGGCGCTCCCCCGGCCAAGCCACTCACCCACGATGGTGGAGAACCTCCGGGTGGGCTCCTTCCCGGTCACCAGCTTGTACAGCTCTGGGTAGTAGAACTCCAGGCTCTCCAGGAAGACTACGTAGCCCCTTTGCCCCTTGGTGTGGAGGATGTCCAGCAGCCGGCCTGGGGGCAAGGCCAGATCACTGGGTGAGAGGCAGGCAGGCAGGCGTGCCGGCCGCGGCTCCACACCCCGACTCCTAGGCACGTACGCCTCAGCCAGCAGTCTCGTCGCATCCTGTCCCTCCCGAGCCGTGCCCTGGAGTCCAGACAGAGCACAGCACCAGCCCTGGCGGGGACCCGCTGGGTGCTATCGCCTAACCAGGACAAACGGAACCAACACGTCCCAAGAGCTCCCCAGCTGACCGGGCCCAAATCAACCACACAGGGCCAGCCTGCCTGCGATGGATGGAGCTGGAACCCCAGAAGCAGGTTTGGAGCAACACGGCCCTCCAGGGCAGGCGGACACTCGGGAACGCCGCAGGAACCCACACAGCTTCCTGCTCGCTGGGGTCACCGTGTGGTCTGGGAAAAGTCCTCAGCCTGAATACAACGTCAGCGGTTTGTTTCTTTTTGACAAGATTTCATTTATTTATTTATTTGAAAGACAGAGTTAGATCTGCCATCTGCTAGTTCGTTCCCCAAGCCAGGAGCCTGAACTCCATCCGGGTCTCCCACATGGGCAGCAGGGCCCGAGCACTTGGGACCTCTTCCACTGCCTCCGCAGGCGTGCGGCAGGGAGCTGGACTGGACCTTAAACCAGCGCTGAAGCGGGACGCGGGCAACGCAGGCGGCAGCGGAACCCCCGTGCCACGGCAGCCCCAGCTGGAATCTGTAAACTGCGGTTCCAGTGGTGCTCGACACTGCTTGGCCCTTCCTTGCACACTTTGTTCCAGGTGTTTCTTCCCTGGAGGAGAGTCGTGGTACTGGCTCCCTGGGACCGTGTTGAGCAGGGCTCCAGCTCAGTGGGAAGACACGCTGTCACTCAGGGATGATGTGTGCAGTGGATGCCAGGGAAAGCGTCGGTGGATGTGCCACGGGTCCCCAGCCAGGCCGTGGGACAGCGGCTTGCAGACCGTGGAAACTGACCCACAGGGAGAGAAGTACGACTCCCCACACAGAGACAACATGCACATGGGTAGGAGGCTACTTCAGAGGGACCCTGCGAGAAGGAACTGAGAGATGCCGATTCTGGAGCCCACGCTTCCTGAAATCCACCAGTCGTCTTTCCTAACATGCACCCGAGGGCTTTGTGAGGACCCCCCTGCCTTTGTGCATGGATTTTGGATTTTTTTTTTGCACCAAAAGAAACATCTAATTGCATTTCCACAAACTTCCTGAAGTGCCCTCATGCCTGCGTACACACACACACACACACACACACACACACACGGCATTCATCCGACCAAATCAAGTTTGCAGAGCAGCCCAGCACCTTAACAGTGCCATAAAGTGCGCAGCCCGCAGTCTGGAGACCCCTCTAGGAGCCTCTCTAAGCGGATCAAATCCATCAGTACAAGGGGAACCGGTTAAGAAAAACAGCTGTCAGACGCTGAGTCTGATCAGCGACAGAGCTGTTTCTTCCCCAGTGCGTTCAGTAACAAGGGCACCTGCTCGCGCACGACTCCAGGGTTTTCCAGGGCGGCGCGAGGGCAAGGCCTGGGGAGAGCCTGCCACAGCAGTCGGTGGCGTGAGGACGCTGCCGTCCCGGCCCGGCTGTCGACAGTGTCCCAGGTACTGATGGTCACCGCTGCCGCTCCTGCCGACAGGCGGGCGCCAACGCTCACTTTCAGTTTAGGTTTGTAAAGGAAAGATGGAACCCCTTTCGTCACCCCGAGTTCGCAGGTGCTCTGAACTGTGTCCACGGACAGCTTGGTGGGGGCGCTGGCGGTGGGCTATGGTCTAGGGACCCCCGTTTAAAATCCCCGAGCCCCCCGCGAGCCCGCTAACCACGGGGAGGTCCCGAACGGCCGCCCGGGAGCTCGGCCTCCGCACAGGCTCACCTGCCCGGTTGATCTTGGACGGCAGCATGGGAGCGCTGAGCACCTCGTCCTCGTCCTGCTCGTCGATGACCTTGCACTGGCGCAGGTAGGGGGTGAGCTTGGCCGGGTTGATGTAGCGACTCAGCATGTGCCGGTTGCACTCCACGTTCTCCCACAAGGCGTCCTCCTCGTCCTTCAGCGTCTCCATGTAGTCGTCCATCTCGGGCCCGCCTCCTGCGGACACGAACCCCTGCAGGCTTAATAAGGTGAGCCTTGCCCTCCCTCACGGCGGCCCCTGGGCAGCATGGTTCAGTTCAGCGTGACGGGGCGGGCACCGTGCCTAGTGCTGAGGCGCTGGTTACAATACCCGGGTTTTTTGAGTCCCAGCTCTGCCTGCTGACGCCCGCTTCCTGCTAGTGCAGACCCTGGGGGACGGCAGGGGTGGCTCCAGTAATGGGGCCCCTGCCACTCACGTGGGAGACCTGGCTGGAGCTCCTGGCTCAGCCCAGGCTGTTGTGGGCGTCTGGGAAGTGGACTGGGAGATGGGAGCTGGCTCTCTCTGCCCCTCTAATTAAAAAAAGGAAAATAACTTATAAAGGTGTACAGTAGAGTCTATGTAGCATTTTACCATTAAGGAAGAGGATGTGAACACGTATGGATGTGTATATGCTAATTATAGAGAACAGAAAAATACATCATAAAATCTTCAAAGATTACTTATAGGGGAGAGGCGAGACCCTGCTACTGCCTTCCCACCCCATGTTTGCATCTTCCTGAGAATACTCAGGCATCTTTCTCAGAACAACACGTGCTATTGTGCCTTTTCAAATCGAGCGTCAGCAGTGCCATGCTGCCGGTCTCCTGTTCGCACCTCGCTTCCTCCCCTCGGAACGTTTCTGGGACGCGCCTGCGAGGATACCTGTAGCAGGTTCACTCGTGTTAATAAACTGCTGTGAGACCACGCAACTACCCACAGAAAGTGCACAATCATCTTTGTAAACACACCCGTGGGGTTGTGACTATCAGCAGTCCTGCTGTCTACGAATATTTCTGTCCTTCTAGCAGAAACTCCATGCCCAGAGGAGGCCCCTCTTGGGTCCCCCACCATCTCTGTCATTAGCAACCCCCAGTCTACTGTCTCCGCCCATGTATGTGTTGTGGACACACAGACTCATGACATACGTGGTCTCCTGTGACCGGCTTCTTGTACTTGGCATGATGTTTTCCAGAAGTGGCCACATCAGAGCAGGCACCACCGTTTTTATGACAGCCGTAGGAAGACATAACTCACGCGGCCCATTGCACCTTCTCAGCACGCACACAGTGGACTCCAGGGATGCACAGGGCCGTGCAGTCATTGCTACATCGTTCAATTATTTACAAGAAAACAAAATACTCTGCTCGTGGCTCCGGGCTTGCATCTCATCTCGGCCCCTCCAGCCTGAGCTGGACAGTGAACATGAAGGAGACCATGTTCCTGAGTGTCTCTGGATGCCTTCCACCACTCAGCGTAGGTTTTCAGCACGTGTCAGCACGCATGCCCACCTGCCTTTTCACGGCATGGATACACCACGTTCTGTTTACCCATTCATCTGCCAAGGGACACGCGAGTCGCTCCTACTTTGTCAGGTGTGACGCTGTCATGGCTGTCCACGGACACGCGCTTGTGTGGCTGTGCACCGTCCTCTTGAGCACACACACACACAGTGAGATTCCTGGAGCCGCGCGCTGACCCTCCGTTCAGCACTGAGGAGCTGCCACACGTCTGTCCCGGCAGCCGCAGCGTTCGCACGCCCACCAGCGATGCGTGTAATTCTTGCCAGCACGTGCTGAGGGCACAGCTCTCCGCCTGGGCGGGAGGCACGGTCTCTGTGGTTTTGCTCCGTGGTCTCCTAGGGACGAAGGCATCACCCACCTGTTCACATGCACATTGGAAATCTGTGTATGGAGAAACTTGGCTCCTTAGCTCCCTGGCGCATTTTAAAATTGCTTGTCTTTCTTTCTGCGTCCCACGGCCCCTTCAGTGTTTGGGATGCCGAATCCCCCATGCTGCACGTGCCTGCTCTGTCCGTCACCTTCTCAAAGGTGGTGCTGATAACCTGCGTCTTAGGTTCTGATCTGGTCACATCCACGTCTCACTCATGCTTCCAGCATGCTGCAGAACAAGTCCTGTGCCTGGGTGCTGGGCACGGGCTTCCGGACTGCTCAGAGCTGTCGGGCAGTGCTCACCTTCGGGCCTGTGCTCTAGGGGAACACACGTCCAGCTGCATCCTTGTAGCGTGGACGATGGCTGTCCCAGCTCCCCATTCTTCCCCCCACTGGCCGGTCTTGGCCCCCTCGCTGACAGCTGACTGTGAGTGCAAGGTGTGGTCTGGACACTCAGTGCCGTCCGCTGGCTCCGTGCGTCTGTCCTGACGGCAGCGCCGTGTTGTCTTGACCAGATGGACAGCCGGAGTAGGTTTCAAAACTGCAAAGTCGGAGGCCTCCAGGCTCCTTGTTTTTTCTTCACAGGATGGTCTTGGCCATTGGTTGCCTTTCACAGTTTCACGAGTTTTAGGGTCAGTTTGTCCATTTCTGCAGAAAGGGAGCTGGCATATTGATACTGAATCCGTCAAACGTGTAGGTCGCTGTGGGGAGCATGACCATGAACAGGCGATGTCTCTCCATTGACTTAAAGCTGCTTTATGTCAGCAGTGTTTTATAATCCTCAGGGTACAAGTCTTATCCTTTTGTTAAATTTACTCCTAAGCATTTTAATACTTTTAAGAAGTATTCATTTGGATGAGAGGCAGAGACAGATCTATCTACTGGTTCACTCCCCAGATTTACAGATTCAGTCTCGTTACAGATCTGTTCATCTTTTCTGTTTTATTTATTTTTTTTTTTTGAGCCAGTTTTACTAGTTTGTGTCCTAGGAATTCGTGTAATTTGGTTTGTCTAGCTTACTGATAACTGTTGCTTCAGGTTGCTTTCGTAAGCCTTTAAGAAACATCTCTGTGAGGTCAGTTCTAATGTCTTCCCCTTCATTTCCTAATCTGGCAACCCGGGCCTTCCTGTCACTCTAGCTAAACGCGTGTCAAACTTCTGCATAATTCAGAGACGCGACTTAGACTCTATTCCCTTTGTATCCCCAGTCCACTCACTCTGGTCTGGTTCTTAGCGCCTGCCTCTGCTCCTTTGTGTTACGGTGGCTCTTACTTTTGCTACTTTCCTAAGATGGGAGGCTGGGTTACCTTTTGCGCCCTTTTACCTGTTAAAATCCTTGCGGCTGTAGTATTTCCTCTGACCACTGCTTTAGCTGCATCCTGTATTTGGTAGTTTGTGTTCCGTGTGCGTCTGACTGTCTTGAGAGTTCCCAGTTCCCCTTGTGAGTTTTTTCTTTGACTCACTGGTTGCTCAGGAGCGCGTCGTTTGATTTCTGTCCTCCGACGGCTGCTACATCCAGGGCTGAGCCAGGCTGAGGCCGGAGCCCGGAACTCCATCTGCTTCTGCCACGCGGGTGCAGGGCCCAAGCGCTTGGGCCGTCCTCCACTGCTTTCGCAGGCCACAGCAGAGAGCTGACTTGGAAGTGGAGCAGCCGGGAGTCCCACTGGCACTTAGATGGGATGCAGGCATCACGGTGTCAGCTCCACCTGTTGAGTGGCGACGCTGCCTTCCCTTGACCTTTAATGTCTCTGTGTCTCTGACACTCAAGTGTGGCTACTGTGCGTAGGTGATTTCTTTTAAAAACCAACCTGGAATCTCTGGCTTTTGATTGGACCTTTCTCTTGTAAACTGTTGTATATTTTTGCATGATTAATTAATACACAATTTATTCATTCATTCCCCTACTACTGGATGTAGTCGACTTTCCCTGTTTCACTTGGAACATTTCTTACTGTTGTAACAGGAAAAAATGAAAACTGCCTATCAGTGGTTATTATTTTTTTTTAAAATTTTTTGACAGAGTGGGCAGTGAGAGAGAGAGAGACAGAGAGAAAGGTCTTCCTTTTGCCATTGGTTCACCCTCCAATGGCCGCCATGGCTGGCGCGCTGCGGCCAGCGCACCGTGCTGATCCGATGGCAGGAGCCAGGAGCCAGGTGCTTCTCCTGGTCTCCCATGGGGTGCAGGGCCCAAGCACCTGGGCCATCCTCCACTGCACTCCCTGGCCACAGCAGAGGGCTGGCCTGGAAGAGGGGCAACCGGGACAGAATCCGGCAACCCGACCAGGACTAGAACCTGGTGTGCCGGCGCCGCAAGGCGGAGGATTAGCCTAGTGAGCCGCGGCGCCGGCCAACCTAACTGCCTATCACTGGTTATTCCTGGTCCTTTTGAACTGCACTGTGTAACCTATTAAAAGGAAATAGCGACGTGAAAACATTCCCGAGACATACTGTTTTAAAAACAAATTTTCGAATATGTGCAGGAGGCCCCCAGAGGGTTCACAGGGAGCGTGCACTATGAAAACAGCACTCGTGGAGTGCAGCGAGTGCACAGTTCTCTGCAACAGAGACTTGACTTTGAACCCTGTTTTTCCACAACGATTTAAAGTACCTTGTACGATACAAAATTATTTATATAACCCAACCCAAAGCAAGGCTTCCATCATGGAGGGTGAGTGGGAGTGAGATCCGGAGCGAGGGGCGGGTCTCAGGATTCGCGAGCCGGGTTCCCACGCAGGGAGACGCATGAGTTTCGTCTGGTCAGCACCCTGCACTGCTTTACAAAAACCGCGTGCTACAGGGATTACTCGAGCAGCTTGGAAACAGCAGCACAGTTAACACAGATGAAGCCGAGTTCGGGGCAGTAGGTACGCCAACAGGCACAGCCATCTGCCGCCCCATCTGCAGGCTGTGGCCCCTGGCTCGCCAGCCCCACCCTGAGCGCTCCGGCCACAGCCAAGCGTCCTGCTCCAAGGAGGGTCGATCCACAGGCCAGGCAGCAACAGCCAAAACTCCTGCCCCCTGGCGACTGCCTGTGGGGCCCAGGGAGGATGGGCTGGGCCGTGGGAACTGAACCAGCAGGCGGCATGAGGGCAGCCGTGGAGGCTCCAGCCAGCACCCAGAGAGCAGGAACACAGGCCGAGGCGATGGGGGCAGAGAGGGGAAGGGTGCAGGGGCGGCAGTCTACAGGAGGCGACCGGGAGGGACCATGGGAAGCAGAGGGCGGGGTCGCCTCCCCTGTGCACGGCCTTTCCTGACCCCATGAGCCCCGCGTGGTTCTGGTGCTTGCTATGGCCCTTCCATAACCTCCCCCGGAACCGAGCTACTTCGGTGGGCTTTCTGTTCCGTGCACACAAAGGGCCTTGAGTTTGCTGTGATGGGAAACCAGGACTCGGTTCCCACTCAAGCCCATGAACTCCGCACGGGCAACAACCCTGCCTCATGGAGTTCAGTCCTCACCCCTGCCCTGCTCTGTGCTGATCCAGCTGGGGAGCCTGCTGTGTCTCCCACAGACGCACCCACGCAGCGGTCAGTGTGTCCACACGGTCACCCTCACTCTCAGCACAAGGTGCACCTGCCTGCATTACTCTCCCAGTCGACATCCCGAGGATTCGATTTCACGCGTTATTTCCTGAGCATGCAGCAGACACGGCTGTCACGGACCCACACCGCCTCCCGTGAACACCGCAGAGGGTGTTCCAGGGCTTCCCCCACCGCCTCCCGCTAACACCACTGAGGGCGTCCCAGCCCCTCACCCACCGCCTCCCGCTAACACCACTGAGGGTGTCCCAGCCCCTCACCCACCGCCTCCCGCTAACACCACTGAGGGCGTCCCAGCCCCTCACCCACTGCCTCCCGCTAACACCACTGAGGGTGTCCCAGCCCCTCACCCACCGCCTCCCGCGAACACCGCAGAGGGCGTCCCAGGGCTTCCCTGGGAACTGGCGGCCGCTCGCTTCGGGGCAGCTGGCATCTCCTGGCTGCAGAGTGGGATCTCACTGGTCTGCGCGGTTTAGGAAGAAGCATGGGTATGTCCCCTAGGGGTGGTTCTGTGGTCTCCCCTGATCTTTGTCGGGGTGTTAGTGTGCGGGGGGTATGGGATGCCTGGGGTCGTTGTGCCTGGCCTGTGCCCCTCCAATGGTGGGGCACAGAGATGGGAGGTCCTGGCACCCCGGGGTTGAATTCTTCAACCCGGACCCCTCCTACCTCCGCACCATCACCTGTAAGATAAACAAGTGCCCTTTGCCCTAAGCCGTGCAACCCTGGGTCTACCATGGTGGGCAGCCCAAAGCCTCCCAACTGGCAGGTGCGTCTCTTATGTGGGGAGTCAGATCAGCGCCTCGTGTGCAGACTGCCCGCCCAGGAGCACATGCCCAGGAGCTGGCTCCGGGCTCCCTGGGGCAGGAAGACGGACAGACGTGGAGGCAGTGAGGAGCATTTCTTTCTATCTTTTTTCTTTGGATTGTTTTTAGTTTATTTATTGGAGAGGTAAAAAGACATAAAGAGAAAGAGAGACAGAGAGAGCTCCCCTCTGCCAGTTCACTCCTCAAATACCTATAATGTCTTGGACTGGGCTGGCTGAAGCCTGGAGCCAGGAACTCCATCCAGGTCTTCCCACATGGGCAGCAGGCACCCAGTTACCTGAGCCATCATCTGCCACCTCCCAGGGTGCACGTTAGCAGGAAGCAGGAGCTGGGAGCCGGAGGTGGGTACAGAACCCGAGGTCTCCATGGGGGACTCAGGCATCCTAACTGCTCAGCCAGCCGTGCACCCCACCAGGAAGCGTTTGTCATGGACGAGGTGCTGGTGGTGGGCACCGCGGAGCTGCAGGGCCAAGAGTTCAGTGCCGCGGGAACGCTTCCCCCAGGGCCGGGGTGGCCTCAACCAGGCAGGGGTGCCTGGGGCAAGACCTGCCCCAAACGGAGTTGAAGGGGACCGTGCAGCCGAGAGGCGAGGGACTCAGACCCTGGGTCTTGAAGACACCTTCCCAGGAATGCTCAGGGCTGAGCCTGCGGCGGGCATAGGGCGTGGGGAACACGGAGCTCCTGCGTGTCCTCACCCGGGCTGGGCGCTGGGCTGGAGAGAGGCTGCGGAGACGTTTCCGACCCAGCGTCTCCCCAGCGGAGGGAGCTGGCTGCCTACGCAGACAATGGCAGCGTGGCCCGAGGAGCAGTGTCCCGTGCGGCCTGTAGGCGGGCCGCGAGCCCCTGCCTTGGGCTGCCCTGTGTCAGCCTGCGTCAGAATCGTCTCCCTCAGTTTTCCCAGAGATTGAGAGGCACACATGATCGACCCAGCTTTGCGGGCAACGACAGCGAGACAGACACCCCGAACAGCGCACTCGAGGTCACGGCCTGAGTCCGACTGGGATCCTGCCCAGACCTCCCCGCGCTAACGCTCCCCTGGGGCTCCTTGGAGAGCAGCAGCATTCTGAGCCGGAGTTTGCAGGGCACAGCGAGAGGGGAAACCGAGCAGCCAGGTGAGGGGCTGCAGTTCACGTGGCAAAGACCCTGGGCTGCAAAGAATGAAGTGGCCAACCTACGCCCACGAAGGGGAAGGAACACACTGCCCACTTCCTCGGGGTAGCTGCCCACGGACATTTGCAAGGGGCCGAGAAATGCGTGAGGATTAGAAAGCAGAGGGCCTGTGACCCAGGCTTCCCGCTTGATCCCTACAGGAAATCTACCTGTGTGCGTCAGGACACCTGGGCAAGACTGTACCATGGCAGCATCGTCTGTGCGCACACCTGGAGACCACACACGTGCCCTGGTGCCGAAGAGGGGACAGCACCTGCCTGTTCCACAGGGGCGAACTTGACAGCAGTGGTAGTGAGGAAAGACAGCCGCGTGCACCCGCGCCGGCACAGGCACGGCTCAGGATCTGGGGCAGCCGCATGCACCCGCGCCGGCACCATCACGCGTGCGGCTCAGGATCTGGGGCAGCCGCGTGCACCCGCGCCGGCACAGGCACAGCTCAGGATCTGGGGCAGCCGCGTGCACCCGCGCCGGCACAGGCACGGCTCAGGATCTGGGGCAGCCGCGTGCACCCGCGCCGGCACAGGCACGGCTCAGGATCTGGGGCAGCCGCGTGCACCCGCGCCGGCACAGGCACGGCTCAGGATCTGGGGCAGCCGCGTGCACCTGCGCCGGCACAGGCACAGCTCAGGATCTGGGGCAGCCGCGTGTACCCACGCCGGCACCATCACGCGTGCGGCTCAGGATCTGGGGCAGCCACGTGCACCTGCGCCGGCACAGGCACAGCTCAGGATCTGGGGCAGCCGTGTGTACCTGTGCCGGCACAGGCACAGCTCAGGATCTGGGGCAGCCATGTGCACCCGCGCCGGCACAGGCACAGCTGAGGATCTGGGGCAGCCGCGTGCACCCGCGCCGGCACAGGCACAGCTGAGGATCTGGGGCAGCCGCGTGCACCCGCGCCTGCACCATCACGCGTGCGGCTCGGGATCTGGGGCAGCCACGTGCACCCGCGCCGGCACAGGCACAGCTGAGGATCTGGGGCAGCCGCGTGCACCCGCGCCGGCACCATCACGCGTGCGGCTCGGGATCTGGGGCAGCCACGTGCACCCGCGCCGGCACAGGCACAGCTCAGGATCTGGGGCAGCCGCGTGCACCCGCGCCGGCACCATCACGCGTGCGGCTCGGGATCTGGAGGCCGAGTGAAGAAGCCAGCCATGGAACACAGACGACACAGACTGTCCACACGCACTTCAGAACCACACGATGCAGAACTCTGGTGCTAATGGAACACAGCCACCAGACGCTGGGACCCAAGGGGACGAGCCAAGCCTGGGGAGGCGCAGCCAGGCAGAGGTGACGTGGGAGGGACGCCCGGGGAACCACGCTACTGCCAGCTGGGGACAGCGAGCCCGTGTTATTGTTCTTTGTCTTGAAGCTCCACTGCGTGTTTAGAAGGCAATGTTTCATGGGTGGAAACTAGGGAGTGCACAGCCAGGCTGAAAAGATCAGAGACGTCCTGGACGTGGTTTGAGCGTCGTCTGCCTCCCAGATGCCTCAGGGCACCTCGGCCGGACTCAGCACAGCGGCCGCGTCCTGCTCCAGGCAGCTCCTTGGAAAGACTCGTGCTGCGGTGGGCTCTCCCACGCTAAGACTGCCCGGCAACGGCGGCCCTGGGCTGGCTGGCCTGTCCCTCCCCTCGGCCAGAGCTGCCTGGAAGCCCTCACCCAGCCCTCGGCAGGGTTTGGCTTCCGGGCTGAGTTAAGTCTAAACTCACCAGTCTTCTCTACAAACAATCCAAAAGCAAGCTCAAGGCTGCCGGGCCCAGCTCTGGCGCAAGGGTTGCTTCGCCCACCTTCTCATGGGAAGCAGAGGACAAGCAGACGGCTTCCTGTGACAGCTCCCTCCGCTCCCCTCCCCACTGAAGGCATCCAGCTTGCAACCACGGCCCTGTGCAGGGTGCCTTCAGCCGGCCCCCGGGAGTCTCTTCACGGCCAAGATGGGGCACTGCTGGCTTTTCCTCCACCAGGCCCCAGGACTAGGACCCTTCCAGCTCAGGTAACCCCGCGCTCTGTTTTTCTGCACACGTCACGTACCTGGCATGCAGCAGGTGTCTGATGGGTAGGGCTGCTATCCTGTTACGAGGTCGAGGTCCGGCCTTCACTCCTCTGGCTGGGTCTCGCCTTGCCTCGAGCCAGGCTCCCGCAGGGTCTGCACCGGAGATGCTGGGCTCTGAAGAGGGAAAGAGAATCAGACACGGAGCAGGGGCAGAGGTCAGAGAGAAAGGGAGCCGCCCGAGCAAAGGGACGCTTGCTCTGAAAGAAAAAAGAGCAGCATGTCCCGGGTGCCCGTGTCTCCAGGTGACAATGACGGGGCACATGGTGCCAGCAGTCATGGGGGGAGAAGGGCTGGAGGCCATGGTCAAGGTGGGAGACCTTCCGGGCCAGACAACCTGACACGGCCACGGTTAAAGTCAGCTCGGTGCTCCAGGAGCTGCGGCTGTAGGTTTTTTTTTTTTTTTTTTTCTTTTTAGGGAAGTGCCACTTCTTGTGCAGGCCAGGGAGCGGGCAGGTGAGGAAGGGCCTCCCTGCTCCCTGACAGCTGCTCCAAGGAGTGGGGGGGACACTGGGTCACTGTTTCATCAGGAACCTGGTCGGTGTGGGCTCTGAGGGTTCATCACAGGTGACGTCAGATCTCCCAGAGGTGACAGAAGCCGCGCCCGCAGGGCGGGGGCCAGGGCCACTGTTTGCTGGCAGAGGCCCGCTGGCCGGGCTCCATGGCCTCCTGCCTCGCGGCTGGGTGAGCAGCCAGTCCAGCGCCACGTGCCAGGGAAGGCGGCAGGCGCGCCACCCCGAGCACGCACGAAGGGAATGGCACTTCCAGCACTCGCGTTTAGAAGGAGAAGTGCTGCTTCGTCATCAGAACAGGACAGGGAGAGCAGGTTCGCGGCGCCACCCTTGCTGCCCCACCTTCCTGCCGCGCCGGCACAGCTCAGGCCGCAGGCACAGGCAGGCAGTACACGAGGCTGAACTCCCCACTTCTGCACACGGTCTGACCACAGCCTTTGAGGCCTTGGTCTGAAGGTCAGGGAAAACTGCAAGGATGCTGGCTGGGTAAGTCCATCTCTCGGTCACTTGAGAGATCAGCTTGGTCACTCACAAGTGTAACACCCAGTAGGCCCGACATCATCTCTGCTGCTTGCATTCACTGTTAAAGACGTCTGACAAACCAGGGAACTCTTCCCTGATGTGGTGCCATCAGCACCCCCATCACCATCACCACTGTCACTATCATTGCCAACATTATCACCACCCCTATCACCATCACCACCGAAACCATCATCACAAAACATCTCCATCCTCATCAACATTATCACCATTACCACCAACACCATCATCATCACCAACGTCCCTAACACCATCCCCATCCCCATCCATACCAAAATCACAAACATCCGCAAGATTACCGCCACCACCACCACCATCAACGTCATCACTACCACCATCATGATCACCAGCACCATAAATACCAAAACACCATCACCACCCCATCGCCATCCCCATCAACACCAAAATCATGACAACATCTCCATCCCTGTCAACATTATCACCACCATCACCATCACCATCAACATCTTACAGCCAAGTAAACAAAAACGTGAAGTTCTAGGTCACATAATTTACACCAAAGGTCGTCTGATTCCCTCTCGATCACCACTGGACAGCCTCTACAAAAGCAGCTTTGGTTGAGGGCTGTAACCAGAAAGTGTGCACGGAGCTCCTCGCAAGGTCGCCGCACCACGCAGGCGCAGACCGAGAGGAAAGCAAGGCTTGCTAAGTGGCAGCTACTGGGTCAAAGTTCAGAGCAATACCTACTGCTTCCCCCAGAGACCCCAGGGGTCTCAGCTGCTGAGTGGGCGCTAAGTTCCCTACCACTGAAGGCAAGCAGGCCCAGTCGGTGCCCCCCTCCCCCCAGGGAAGCCCGGTGGCCGACAGGAAGAACGCCAGCTTCCGTCACCTTGTACTGAAGGGCACCTGGAAGAGCCCACCCTCCAGCCCAGCCTCCTGCCGATGCGGCCCCTGGGGCAGCGGTGATGGCGCCAGGGCCCAGGCCCCTGCCGCCTACACGGGAGACAAACCTGGACTCCTGGTCACTTGCTGCAGTCCCGGCTGCTGCAGGCATTTGGGGAGAGAACCAGTGGATGGAAGCTCTCTCTGCCTTTCAAAAACTAAAGAATAAAACTAAATGAAAAACACAGGGCCAGGGATCACTTGATGTTTTAGCAAGGCCTCCATGGGAAGGGTAGAGATGAGAAGAGACAAGAGGACAAGGGGGCGTCCTGCAGACAAGGCCAGAGTCAGAGAACACACAAAGACCAAGCCTAACAAGGCAACCCGATAAACCTGACCCTGCTGGAGGTGAGCTGAGATCCTGCAGCCATCCAACAGCTGCACGCTAAGCACAGGGAGCAACCAAAGAAGAGATCTGGGAGATTAAGGACACAGCAGCAGAAACTGGAAGCCTACGGAAGGCAGGGAAGACAGAAGTTGACTTCCCAGAAGTTCAAGAGGACGACCATAAGTAGCCGGGAAGGGCTTGAGGTCAATCTAGAAGGTCCAGCACCTACGACACAGGAATCCTAGAGAGCACAGACTGTGTCTCCTCCCTTCTTTTCACGTTTTATTTATTTGAAAGGCAGAGTGAGAGAGAGAAGGGAGGGTGAGCGAGAGAGGAGAAATCCTCCATCTGTTGGTTCACTTCCTGAACACCCCTCATAGTCAGGGCAGCGGCAGGCTGCAGCCAGGAGCCAGGAACTCTATCCTGGTCTCTCACAGCGGGGCAGGGGCCCAAGTACCTGGGCCACCTTCTGCTGCCTCCCGGGGTGCATTAGCAGGAGCTGGGTCGGAAAGGAACGCTCTGGGGCTGGACTGTCACTCCGCTATGGGCTGTGAGCGTCCCCGGCTGCAACTTAACACAGCGCACCACGACGTCTACCCCGTGTCTCCGTTCCTGTATATATGTCTGGGATAAATGTAAATGAAGGGATGGAGTTAGCAGAGAAATAAGGACACGGATCTTCCAGTGTCAGCGGGAGAGAATCTTCTCAGAGCACGACGTTCTGACATTTCAGACCACTAGGAAATGACGGAAGACCCTAGAAGCTTCCAGAAGGAACACCTCAGACCACAAGCAGAGAACCGGAAGCAAGGGTGGGACCTCTTACCAGCAGTACTGGAGGCGGGGGACCGTGAGGCCATGTCTTCCCTTTTTTGATGGAAGAGACTTTAAACTCAATTTTAGCCTAACCAAGTGTGTGGAAACAGAATGGAACTCTTAGGAGAGGCAAGGACTCTAAGTATCGACCTCCTCCTTGAGGGCACGCTCCAGCAAGATGAGGGAGCAAAGCCACACAGCGGAAGGTGGAGAGGCCAGGATGAGGGCCAAGCAGCATGGGGCGGCTGCCCCAGGTTCTGGCAGGCTCAGGAGCTCCCACCACAGGGAGGCTGCCGGGAAACACCGAATGCCTACGTGGCAGAGTTGATCATCGCCAGGATGATACTGTGAGGCCTGGACCAGGCCCAGCCCTGGTTGTGGCCATCTGGGGAGTGAACCAGTGGACGAAGACCTCTCTCTGTCTCTCCCTCCTTCTGTCTTTCCAATACATACATTCGTAATCTTAACACCCAACAGAGCTCCCGCACTCTGGTGCGCAGTCACATTGCCCCACACCTTCCCTACCCTGTGGGGCTTCGGGGAGGGGCTGAACAAAGACAAAATCAAACCAGGAACATCTTTGCCTACAGAGACAACAGCGACAGCTTGCCCTCTGTCCTGACGGTTTATTTTCATCTACTTGAAAGGCTGAGAGACAGAACAATCTCCCTTCGCTGATTTACTCTCTCAAGGCCCCCAAGAGTCAGGGCTGGGTCAGGAGCTCCATCTGGGACTCCTGCGGGGGCGGCTGAGGTCCAAGTGCTGCGGCCGACACCTGCCGCTTCCCAGGATGGGGAGTGGAGGAGCCGGGACGCCAACCCAGGCACCATGAGACGGGTGCAGGCGTCCCACACCGTGGCATCGCCTGCCTGCCCACCCTCCCCACCGCTTCTAAGCAGAAAGGGTGCAGCCCCGAGCAGGAGAACCCTGGGTGTGAGCTCTGCGTCTGCCACCTGCTGCTGCTGCTGCTGCTGCTGAGTGACCCTCGACACATCGCTTAACCTCTCTGGGCCTCCTTCTGTCATCTGCAAAACCAGACAAGCAATGCCAGCACCTTCAGATTGCTGTGTCTCACGAGGGGTCCACAAATCGATACCACCACCCTCAAGAAAGCAGCAGCGAAACGGAGACAGAGTCACACAGTGCCGCCTGGCGGCTCAGGGTAGGCGCCTGCACGCCCGGCACAGCGGCGAGCCAAGCTCAGGATTTCTCCTCAGCCCTTGTGCCGGGGACGTCACTCGGCCCAGCGATGCCTGGCACGAGTGGGAGACGGACATCTACTAGGGAGAGATTTCGATTGCATGAACTCCGGCCTTGTTTTCCATGCGACTTCGTCCCTTCAGTGAGGAGACCTCGCTCTGCAGGCGTCTGCTGAGTTCTCGCCAAGGCAGCAGCTTGGGGGGGCCCCAGCGCCCTATGTGTGGTCCCAGCCGGCAACCTGGAATCAGTGCCTGTCCATCCTGCGCTCTCCGTCGGTCACCGGCTGGAAGCCGAGGGGGACGTCCATAGACTCTGACCAGCGGGGACAGAGCTGTCTTTCTGGGGGAAAGGAGGATGGGCTCTCCACTTGCTGGTGTCCCCAGATGGCTGCTGCCTGCAGTGTGCACGAATCCTTAGGGGGTCGTGACACAGGTGCATCCCGTGTGTAGCCCCGTTTGTGGAGTTCAAATTCTCTGAAAGCTGACAACCTGGGAGCAGCCAGCATTTGCCAGATCACGTGAAACCCGCCAGTCCCTGGTGACGTCCTCACGGGCGGCGCGGAGGAGAGCTGCCTGCAGAGCCAGGGTGTGTGGCCTTCCTGGGGAGGGTGCCTGACCTGCGGGGTCCTCGGGCTCAGAGGCCAAGGCTGCGATGTGCAGCAATGCATCCCAGCAGGTGTGCAGGGTGAGGGGTCGCGTCTAGGAGGGTGGCAGGCAGGAGAGCTGAGAACCGCTGGGGCCCGCGAGGGCCATCTGCAGCCTAATCCAGGGCTGCTCTTGGTCAAGGCTTGGCTCTCCGGGAGCAAAACAGAGCCAGGA